GGGAGGAGGATCCCAATTGCTTTCCATTTAAGCAGACTGCTGACAGAAGCAAGCAATGGGTAAAGGTCCGTCTGCACATCCTGCATAAGAAACAGCCCTGAACAAGCTGTCAGGACATGCAGCGGAGGCAATTGCTCCACTCCTTCCGCATCCAACAATAACTTATCCTTCTCCTGCCTCTCCGCCATTGCGCCTTTCTCCTCTCTCCATTTGTTTTTCAGTGGTGCTCTTCTGCCTTTTGTGTTTTAATTCCAGTCCCAATCATGGAGCGCGTTCCGCATAAGGGTTTTCATTTCAAGCCTGCCGCTGGATGAATGCCAGACTCACAGACACACATGCACAAATTCACAGAATAATGCATGTGCATACACCAAACCACAGATTCTTATGCATACCGTACACACACACTTTACAATCACATCACAAATACACGTACACACTTTTGTGTTACGTGGCTACATGCATATTTTATGCATGTGCTCCGTGGCTACATTTTATCATTCAAACACGTTTCCCATGACAGAAAATATATCCATCCAGAGACATTAATAATCACTCATATTCTTAAAAGTCAGACACATCACCAGACAAATTACATAAAAAGAATCCCAACAGGCTTTATATTTACTTTAAAAGTAAAAAACATATTCCAATGTTTATGATAAATTGGCTGAATTTATAGGATCAACAAATTAATTTTTAGTGCTCTATTTTTTGGCTTACTCCAAAATACAAAGCCCCTCTCCAAATGCATCAATCTTAACATTTAATCTTGTGGAATTGACCAAACAAACATGATCTGAGGGGCAGCCAAACATTTAATGACAGCACTGAGTACAAAAGCAGATCTTGGTTTTAAATCCTCATTCCCCCAGACACTGCATTCTAGAAGAAGACATTTATAGTTGGCTGTGTGATGCAGAATGACTAATGGGTCAGGGGTGTCAGTATTTTAGTATTGATTATGAATACTCAATCCTCCTCCACAGTCTGGACTTTATGTATGTGAGTAATCAAAATGCAGACAGCAAGCTACAGCTGCTTCACTCAAAGTGACATTTCCAAAGGCATTACTTGACATATGCAAAAGGGCCGTCATGATGATAATTCTGACAGAGGAAGGAGCCAAATGAAACCATCTCCTAAACGCACATAAAAGAAAAATGTTGCACAGCAAGTCTCCCAGTCCTGCTACTTCAAGGCAAAATTTGCAAGTAGTAGCTGTGCAATTGAGCTGAAACATTCATTGTGAGTTTTTCTCACTCTGATTAGCAAAGTGATTGAAGTGCCTATCCATTAAATAATAGTGAAGACTGGTAAAAAAAAAAAAAAAACCCTGCTGAGTTACTCATTGCTCATCTCCAAGGTCTGCAGCATTGCAATGAGAGATAAGACGGACTGCAAGTAGCTGAAGGCATGGAAGTCCATAAGAGGAGGAGGGATCCTTTTCATTAACTTTCATTAAGACTAAAGAGTGAACTACCCTGAACAGAAGAGGTCTGACACATAAAAGCCGTGTGGAAATAGGGAAATATATACACACTCACATTCTCCTGCAATAAAACACACATGCCTACATGTACATACAAACGTGGGTGCAGTAATTGTTACATATGCTGATACGCGATTTGACTATGTCTTGCATACAATGTACAGCGCAGACCTTGGCAACAAAATGCTTCTAATCCTCCATATACTGTTGTGCCTCTGTATAGTACATAATATATTATGGGGGAAGGACAATAGCAAGAAGAAATAGTCTATGCAGCGACTGGTAGAGGGGCAATGGTAGGGGTGGGGAAGGGGGTGTGTATGTGGGGGTGTTTTTGTGTGCTTGTATGCTCATGTGTGAGCGGATGTCCACAGTATATGTGTGTGTATTTGTGTGTGTCCATATGTGTGTGCTGTATGGGTGGAGGGAGGCAGGGCAGAGCAGAGCATTGCAGTGCAGTAGGACAGCGTTTCTGAGCTGTGGTAATTTCCCCTGAGGCCAGCGAGCAGGTAAAGGCCAGCGAGAGAGAGAGGGAGGGAGGGAGGGAGGGATAGAAGAAGGCTGGAATAGAGAGAGGAAGGCAGAGAGGCAGTGTGCGAGTGTGGCAGAGAATAATGAGGAATGATACAGCGGTGGCAGAAAAAGAGGCCGGCAGATTCTCCCAATCAAGCGCGCACACGCACACACACACACATACACACTGCATTAACAGCAACTCAAGGTTGAATGTAGCTCCCATTGTCAACACATTAATGTTTCTATTTTCATTTCAAATGCCTTATCTTGTTAATGAGTGTTTCTGAACTGAGTCATTGTTTTTGTAATGAATTCATCTATTAATTACAAGTGCGCTTTTTCCTGATGACCTTGCTTTAGTTTGTTACAAGCTGCAGACCTTAATATTAGCATACATTAAGCCCTGCTTATCTTTCATCCCCAATAGCTAATACGTTAAATTATCACCTCCCCCTCCCAAAAAAACGCACCAACCACAACAGTGGTTTGTATACCGGGGTTTGTGTGCACGTGTGTGTGTTTGTGGGTGAGCACCCTCACTTATTAGCCCCTTCCCCCTCCCTACTTGCAAACTCATTACCAGGGTATAAGACCTGCGTGGATTTTATGGTGTTTTGGGAACTGACTGGTTAATCAGATTTATTGCACACTTAAGCTTAATTGATTGCCTTTATGGATTCAAATGAATAATTAAGTGCTAACAAGCCTAGTTTCTGTTTCATCATTGTGAAATGATGATAATGACCCACAGAGAGGGATGGTACTGGAAGTGTCAATCAAAAAGTACTAACATCACAGGATCCAATTTTTCCGTTTTATTCCTCTGTTTACTATACAACTGATTATAATAATAACATGTATGAATTGTTCTGCTTGCCTATCACTCAAACACTGACGCAAACACATTTTCCACCTCATTTTTAAACGCATAATTGTAAAACTTAAAGGTAGAAATTATTTTTTCTGTCTGCCGCTTTGCTCTTTATACTGTTATGTTTGTTGTTTCTATGATCAATGAGTGGTATCAGCTGTTATATACCTTCAGTGAAAGGACAGACAGTGTATTAAGATCAAGGCAGTCCAAACAGAGACAACATATCCTGACCTTCAGATGATCTTCACCAGATCAATACTATCATCA